GGTTCAGCTCCTTACTTAGTGGAGTTGTAATTCTACCCCAATTATCCATCAAAATCTACCACACTGCTGCAAAAAGAACCTTAAGGCTAATACTACCAACTCGTTCTGTATCACAAGCAAATAGTGGGAGGTAAACATTTTTCTCCTGATAACATCCCATCTTCATTATACAGATAAATATACAGGAACCCAGAAATAAACTTTATTCCAGGAATTAATAAAACAGATTGAAGGCCTTTAATACACATGCGACTTGAAATTATACCAACAAATCCAAAGACGAAAAACACCTGAGAGGTGAAAAAGCGCTACCACCTTCATCCCTGCTGTACTCATGATTTGCTGAAGAACAAATCTCAGCCACACTAGTCATTAAACCCCCAATTTACCCAGCAGAGACCCAACGCCAAACACCATGTCTGGTCATTAGTTTGCAGCTAGTGCAAATGAACTCTGCAAACCCAACGCTTCAGGTACAAAAAATATTTAGACTGCTGTGTGTACCTTTACAACTACAGTATTTATCTTTTCATAGGCGGGAACGTTCTCTAAGCCTGGAAACTGTTGTGTCCTTCAGCCAAATCACTCCCAGCCTCAAACAGAGCCCTTCTTTTAGGCTCATGCCTCACCCAGCTGCAGATGTGTCAGCGACACTAATTTTTTTGTTTTTCTTTTCACTTCCTTCCAGGATGTCTCTCTCCGTCTCCATTTCCTCCACCTCCTCTCTCTTCTCCTTTGTCCGGGCACCTTCCCCCATCCCTCAGCCTCCCGCAGCCAAGGAGCAATAGTGGAGCATTGAACCACAAGCTGCTGCCGCTGGCACCGCTCCCGCTCAGCTGTTTGGCCATAGCATAGTTCCTGCTGCTAGTTTTTTTTTTTGTTCCACCACTGAACAACCAAGCTAAGCCAAGCCAGCAGCAGGCAGCACGCTCGAGAAATGCCGTGAGCAGCCAGGTGAGGAGAGGTAGAGGGGAGACAAGGATGCTGCCTGCAGCCAGCTGTGGTTTAACCACCATCAGCAAATGCTTCCCTTCGCATCACTGGAAATGAAGTGACAGTTAAGAAACACAAACCCCCAAGTGTCTTCTCAAAGGCAAATCCCGGTGAGTCACCACCGTCTACGAGACAAGGAGGTACGGCACCGTACACAGAAACCAACTCAGAAATCCCAGAACTCAGCGGTGCTGAACTGGAACCTGCAAAGTTGAGTTTTAAACAGCCCAGGGAGCAGAACGTGGGAGCCGTAGGGAATGCAGAGATTTGTACATGAGTATGTGAGCCCCTGTGCACACACCCCCTCTGTATTTTAACAATTCAGAGGTTCTAACTCAGAAGTAATCTCAATAAGACACAATGTTGTGCTCACTGGAAGAGCATTAGGCATTCAATGTCAGCTAGCCACAGATCGTTATTACAGTTTCACTATTTCCCAAATAATTTCCAGACAGAATAATTTTCACCAGGACAGAACAAAAGAAAGCAAGCTCTCTTAAGGGCAGGTTTGTTAAAAAGCAAGACAAGGGTGGCATTGGGCTGCTGGAGCTCCACCCGCAATGCTCACCTGTGCCTCGGGAGGGCCCCCTTCGTCTCTGATCAGCAGCAGGTAGCTCTGGCCATCCACCACTATCTCCTTCTTGAATCGCCCACCTGTCACACAAAGGAACTCGTTACACAACGGAAAACTCACAGAAATACAAAACAGAAAAAGGCTTCGCTTGGGGAAAAAAAAAAATAAAGGTGTCCTTAAGAGCTTTCGCAAAGTGATGACCTACGGCGAATGTCAGTGCAGTTCGTATGCGGATGCAGAGAAATCACTTCAGAAAGAGAAGTCACATACTTGAAAAATAAGGCTAATGTGGAAAAAAGCCAACGACTGCTTTCCAAACACTACCTCCCATATTAGGTGTACTCGGTGGGTTGGATACAGTTAAAAGATGGTTGCCTTTGTTTTACAGAATGGTGAGAAATGTGTCTCGAGGAAAGGCAAACATGGGACAGTTGCATACGAACATCATCTGTTAGAACAAAAATAAATTTCTTGTGTCTTGGCATTTCCTCAAGAGAAGCCCAGTTCTTAGAGCACACATGCAATGTTATGAAAATGATACTGCTATACTCACAAACCACAGTTAGGGGAAAATACTAGACACATGTTAGACAAAAAAAATCTACAATGGTGGTACCTCTGCAGAGATGTACTAAACCGACAGAATGTTGCACTGCTTACTAGCTGGATGGATTAAAGACCTATTTTGGAGATGTAAATAAAGAGAGCAGAGTCACAGCCTTCAGCCAAATGCTTTTTCTGATCCTATTATTTCAGGGTGATGTAGAATATTGAGTGCTTCTGAAGACCAAAGAACTGGCACCAAACCCAAGAACCCAACCAACCTGGGGCGTGCAGCTGCGCTGTCCCCTTCTCTCCCCACTGGCCCAGTGGGGACCGCTAGCATGACCCGAGGGCAGGATTGGGGCTGCACCCCTTTGGGGTTAACCATATTGCAGGCATCCTGCTGTGTCCCATGAGGGACGTCAGATAATGACAAATCACATTTAGGGTTTCTGGTGTGACGGAGCCTAAGCCAGGATTAGCAGCCTGGCCTGCCCAAGTCGTTGGGTTGCATTTAGGCTGGTCTCCTGGAAGCAAACGCACTCTTATCTCCCTGGCATTGTCCAAACGCCTCACACCAGATGAAGATAAAACACATCTACTGACATACACCAAACTTCTTCCTTCACCCCTATTTTATTTTAACTGGAATTATTTCCTATTTGAACCTTACTTTCCAACCCTTACTTCAAAACTTGTCACACTATCAAACCCAATGCATTTAAACACATGAGAGGTGGGTGAACAACTCTGACTTGGTGTCCGAACAAGCTCTCTAAGAAAATCAGACAGCACATACAGGCTAATGCTGATCCTCAGAACATTTGCACAACAATTGCTAACCTTAGGGAAACACCAGACTGGCTTAGACCCACCAGTCCCCCACCCCAACCATTCCAGCTGGTTTCCAATCAAGATCACTCAACAGTTCAGCTATGTGCAAGATTTAAGCATGTTTAAACACATTTCATGTTTCATAAAAGACATGAGAAGAGGGGGTTTTGTTCAGGGTCTTGTTGCCATTGGTTTTGTGTTGCCTTTTTCTTGATATGCGTTTGGTTTTTTTTAACTGTTTTTATAAAGCTCCCCAATTACGAACAGCTTAGCAGTACCAAACATGCACAATCAAGACTGCCACACTTTGGGTTGTTTAATTGCTCCGAAGGAGCAGAACAGCTATGTATAGATTTTCATTATCTTGCTCACAAACTGGATTTCAATTTTGCCTTCAAAGATCAAGTCACAGATAAATATATATCATTAGTGAACTTGAAAAGAATAATCAAAACCAAGCATAAAGCTTTGGAGGGAAACTAGTCTCAGCTCTCAGGAACTGAATTTCTATTAAGCAGATCATTATTTCTATATGTCATCAATTAACGGTATATGTTTCATAATGAATTGTTAAATAAAATGAATTACTTAATATAGAGCCCTCCAGAGAGGCTCTTTAAAGCTGTGACAATGGAAATGCAGTATATACGTGATCGAAGAGTGAAAGCTCTGCATAATTGCCATTTCCTATTTCCTTTTTTGAAACACCAAAAGTTCACGCAGATAATTATAAAATACCATGAACTGAACGCACTGAAGAGCCAGCTCATTATTCCCTCCTGTCAACAGGACGCCTTTCAAGTCTCACTGTATCTTCAAACAGTCCTCAGAGGTATAAAGAAGGTACAGACAAGGTGAAATAAAAAGCATGAGGAGAGAATTTAGAAAAAAAAAGATCATCCATGGGTATAGTATTAAAATGTATATACACGGATCACACATGTGAGCACTACGAGATTTATGCTTGAGAACCACTTCAGGGTCCCTAAGGATTTTGTTGGCAGGAGCAGGTTTGGGAAGTTACCATATTGAACACAGTAAAAAAGTTATCCCACAGCTCCCTTCCTGGGTGATGCACGCTCAGTGACCAGCTTGTACACCTGCTCCTCGCCTTCCCCAAACCCCACTGTGTGTGGAGCTCAGTACAGCAATATTGGCTTTTTATTTCCAGCATTAAATCCAAATCCTGACATGCTGTACCACTCCACCAGGGTCTGTCATGCCGGAAGAGCAGTGCAGTAGTCAGCCAGTGTACAGTCAATCTAAATCTAGTCAAGTGGCTTCTTCACCCTGAAAAGCCGAGTGCGCTCGTTATCTGGAACATGCACCAGTTCCTTGCGCATCCTCAGCCATTCCTTTAGTTGTGTTTAGCTTTTGGGATTTCGCAAGGAATAGTTTAAACCTGATAACCACCCAAACCAAAGCATTTCAAAGAATGCCCTGCATTTCCAACCTGGAATAAGGATTTAAAAGCAAATTCAAAAATCCAGAAATGTAACAGGAGGCTATAGCTCATCCCCCAAATAATTATTTTATGCAAATTTGAGATCAAAGCAGGATGCATCCCTGTGAACTTGTGTTTCTACAACATTAGAGAGTCATTATCATCAGCACATCACAATATCAGGTACTACACAGGACAGAGATTGAGAAAACCCACCTCAATATCAAGAATTTACACAGACAAAAGTATAAACACTGAAGAACAGAGACTTCTGCCAGCGCAGGAAGCCAGGGCTGGGTGGCTGTCCTGCAGATACCTGCAGCCATAAGATTGTCCACGTCCAGGCTGGGCAGGGAAAGACAATGCAAGGGCAGGGATTCTGGGATGATTCAGCTTGGACAGCACTACACTAGGAATTAAAAAAAAAAAAAAAAAAAAAAAAACCACCAAACAAAAAAACCATCTTTGGAGCTTGTAAAGCATCACAGGGTCATCGGGAAAGAAGAATTAGAGAGACCAGCCAGTTCAAATACTGACCTGTCAAAGGAGTCAAGAAGTCTCCCATGGCTACGAAACACCACTGTACTTGTCTAAATATCCATACATACGATGGACCGACAAGATGCTGCCTAAGCTCATGACACTGACAACAAAGAGATGACCTCCTTCATTTAAAGAATGAGCCCAAAACCACACCTCCCTTGGGATAGCTTTGTTCTGCTCCCGTCAGCGTTATGACACACGCAGCTTTTTAATGAGGGAATTTCTCAACTCCCCTACGTACCTGCCAGAGGAGGTCACGGCAAGAGAATGACGGGCAGCCTGGGCCACAGCTCTGTAGGCTGGAGCCATCACTCTTGCTACGTCCTAGCAAGTACATCAAAGCATGAGGATGCTAGAGGGGAAGGCGTGCAGTCCACGCTGAACAACATCTACTTGCAGACAGTACATCTCTAAACCCTACCTCTAAAGCCATAGAAAAGCCATGCCAGTGAATACTGAAATAACTCTCTGCAGTCAGGCAGTTGGAGCTGGAAGCTGTTTTCATGAAATGTCACAGCCATTTGATAAAAACAAACCACCGAGACTGTGCGGAAGCTTTAATTTGGGAGGATTTTAGTGTGTGGTTTATTTTCTCTAAAACTCTGTATTTATAAAACACTGTGTTATTCCCAGTTTTCCAGGGCAAGATGGTTATCAATTCACACTGGCTCGTTTTCAGACACGTACAGAATTTTACCTAAGAAGGCAAATATCACTCCCGCATACCAATCACACACAATACCCACCAGAATATACAGAGCCGTGCTCCCGACACCACCCATAAAACCACCCCGTCTCTTCTGCGCATTGGGCCAGATCCCTCCTATAAAATGCTCCAGATAAAAATACAGCTTGGATCGATATAAAGCTAAATAAATTCTATGCAGCAGCTATTTACAACCACGGCTAAAAACCCAGCGCAAGTCAGAATACCAGGCTGAGGGACCCGACAAAAGCTTCCTAATCTCATTTCTACGCACGTCGTTCCACAAAGGTTAGTGCTTTCCAGCAGCAGCAGCACCACCAAACTGCCCTTCAGTGAAAACCGATGCTAATTTTAAATACCATGTACATCTGTAACCAAAGGTGCTCCATACTGAGAAAGCTTTACACGACACAGGGAATTCTGCGGGTGGAGGTTTGCACCCGGCTAGGACAGCCTCTAGCCGATAGCTGTTTCGCTGCGTAATTGCTCGCTGGAGCGACTGCTGATTTTCATACTGTATCCCCAGGCTCGACTGCATTCGCCAGCCTCTTTATTCAAGCAAATTGCCCCAGGGATGAAGTTATTTGGCCATATGAGAAAGATAAATTCGGGGGGTTGGCCACACGACAAACCCACGCAGCAGCTGAACGTCCACCGTAGCCATGGGGGCAGGGCAGGCAGGGAAGGAGAGACGGAATATAAGACAGAAGCAGCCGTAAAAACCTGTATTTCATATTCCCGATGACACCTGAATTTTGACAACAGTGGTTGGTTGTCTTACACACGCAGATTCTCTCCTTTTTTTTTTTTTCCCCCCCATAAGATGGAAAAGACAATGCCAAGAATCTGGCTCCTCTTCAGAGAAACATGTTAAAAAGTCATTTATTCCCTTTGTCTACACGTACATCATTTCAGGACCAAACATATGAAAACTGTTGGTTAAGCTCTGGAGAAAAAAAAAGAAAAAAAAAGGCAGCTCACAAGATCTGCAGTGAAGCAGAAGCACTAAA